AATATACCTTATGTTAATTTATATTTTTATATAGTAGTTATTATAAATAGTATTCATAAGAAATTTTAAATCATATAAATATATTGATGTATCTAAGGGTCTGTTTGGTTGGCAGGATTGGAATGGAATTCGAGGGAAAATGATTCCAATTCTCTCGAATTCCTGCGTTTGGTTCAACTTTTAGAGAAGGAAAATGGATTCCTAAATGAGAAAACATTCTTTCAATGGAGGGAAAATACTTTCCTCACCAACAGGATGTAATCAATTCTTTGTTAACATGGAAAGTTAAAATTTACCATTATACCCACCAAACCATTCTAATCTTCTTCTCCAAACCACATCGTCTTCTGCAATCTTCCACTAGGTCGTCGTCTTCTCCAATCTTCCGCCAGGTTAGTGAATCGATGCCGTTATCTTTCACTCTCGCTATCTCTCACTGTGGTCATGTACCAGGTTTTGAACGTTTCGTACCCAAACGGGGTACAGAGTTGATCCCAACGCCATGCGAAACGCTCTCTGGCACGACTCCTTGTCGATCCGAGCAATCAACCGGTACGATGAAGGGAACGCGTTTCTGTAGAATTGGATTGCAGCAATTCGTCGATTGGGTCGGCGATTGCAAAAAAAAATTGGCGATTGGATCACCAATTGGGCGATTGGGCGGGAATGGTGATGTCGATTCCAAAAAGTAACGATTCAGAAAAAAAAACGCTTCGACAATTGGTTTGATTCCTCGATACCAGGTACGATTTGCTTATTAAATCAGGCCCCTATCACCACAAACTTGATCTTCTTCAATTAGATGATTCTTGAATTCCACTGTAACATCGACTTCCATTAATACACTTGCCGATTTCTGCTTTTCTTCTCTTCTTCTCTTCTACTGTTATTCTATTAGTTATAAAGAATGGTTTTTGGCAATGGCAAGGCTAGTATTCATGTATCAAATAGTGAAACAGAACCACAGGAAAAGTGTTCTTCCTGTTCTTGCTGGAAAAGTGGAAATCAATTTTTTTTTTTTTTTTGCTTGCTTGTTTAGAAACAGCAATATCTTTAAAAATTGATTGTGTAGTTTTAGTCTTTTAGATATACTTGCTGGAAATTACATTACACCTTCAATACGATATGATTTTGTATGAACATGATAAATTCATGTGATTAAGCAAAATAGACAAAAGGGCAGTTCAGTCATTTTTCATGAATTCTAATTCCATTTCCTGCAAACCAAACAGGATCTGGAATTAATTCCAATTCCATTTCCTACCAACCAAACAGCACATGGAATTAGATTCCAATTCCTGACAGATTCATTTTCTAATTCCAATTCCAATTCCTTCATCAACATTCCGCGAACCAAACAGCACCTAAGATTTCAATTAATAACATAAAATGATAAAATGTTGGTGCTACATAGAGATGCTTCTGGTGTGCCTTTTTTTGCTAGCGAAATAAGTTTGTGTTTCATTTTTGTTCTTTAAATTTTGTAAAAATATTGTGTTGGTAAAGAAAAAAGTGCAAATAAATTCAGAACTTTAAAGAGAACAAAGGTAATAAAAAAAGGAAAAGTGGTGTCACACCATTAATAGCATCCAACTTTGGAAATTACGGAAATGGTGCCGTTGGCAAAATTTTGCAATCTCAATTTAAAAAAAAAAAAGTTACACTTCCGTCCTTAAGTTTGGACTTAGTTAAGGAAATGGTCTCTAATGACATTTTTACCCTTTGTTCCCAAAACAACACCCCAACTAAGGATGTCAAAAAGTCTTGTGGGACCGCGTCCCCGTGTGTCCCCGGTCCTGTATGGAAGTATTTATTTAAAAAAATCCAGGGGCAGAGGTGGGGGCAAGGTTAACCTCCGTTTTAATTTCGGGGGAGATCACGGGGATGGGTAGTCTCGTCCAGAAACCTCCATGTGAGTCCCGTTAATAAATTATATATATTTACATATATTAATTATATAAATATAATAAACAATAACGTTCTTAGTCACGGGATTCACCAAAGTAGTCACAATCCACGTTTCGAACGACCCAATCCCAAACGTAGTATGATTGCGTACCAATCGCCGAGAGAAACGCCATGTGGTGCGTCTTGCTTGCGATCCCACCAATTTTCTAAATTGATATCTGAAACGTGAAATTGGCGAATCAGATTGCACAGAAACGCGATTGGGATCAACAATTTTGGTTTTGGAACGCCAATCTGTGAAATTGGCGGGAAATTGATTTCATCTGGGACAAGTTGTCGACGCTTGATTTCTTCATTCCATTCCTCGATTCCATGTTAGATGTTTGGACTTCCACATATGATTCTTCTAATTAATTTTGATAATTATATAATAGACATGCCCGTTATCCAATATCATCGGTTCACCATTCTACATTCTTATGTTATTTTGAGCCCTCATACGCTCTCTTCTATTTTGTTTCTTTATTGCTTTTCATCTTTGAAAATGGTTGTTAGTAAGTCTTTTAAGTGTTAACTTAAAAGTTCTATTTTTAAATATAAAATTGTTTATAAGTAAACATGCATTTTTGTTTTTAAGTTAACAATTGCTGGAATTATGTTTTGAACATGTGTACACCGTATCAGAATATATGGTACATTGTACCAAGACGCATCGATTACCGAAATGAACCTACCCCAACCGTATCCGATACATCCTAACAGGCGAACCGCGTTCCCGATCCTCGTTCCTGCACCGGAGTGTACCGCGAACTATGTGACTATGATAACATGATTTTAACCTACCAAAATTCAACAAAAAACATGTTCTTAAGTTTTTTTGTAACATGTAAAATTCTGCTATAAGTAACTAATTGTTACCCGAAAAATAGTTTCTTTTAGACCAAAGAAGGTAGCCCAAAATCAATCAGGGGCATGGGCGGGGGTAATAAGGGGAATTCAAGGGCGGGGGCGGGGATGTAACCCTCGTCCCATTTTTCCCCTGTTGACATCCGTAACCCCAACCCACCCCTCTCTTCCACACTTCCACTTCTTTCCATATACCAACTGTTCTCATCCTTCTTTCCCTACAATTATACCTCCCAACATCAATGCCTATGAAAGGAAGTATAGAAAAGAATAGTAAGTGTAACACTCGGGTTTCAGATTTACTTCATTATTCGGGGCTGCGGCCTAATCTTCAGTGGGCATGAGGCCTAGGGCCTTGGGAAAGGAAGGAATTGGCCTTTTTGGGTGTGGGTGGTATGGTTTAAGTGATCCAGGTGTTCAATTGTGTCTTCGGAGGTCAAGGGTATAATCATAATTTTGTATTTCGGGTCTTATGGAATTTGGGTTTTCTTTGGGAGGTTTTAAGGCTTGGGTGTGTTGTTAGAAGCGTAGGGCTTCTCGCCACCTTTCCGTGGATATAAGGTTCGTTGGAAACGGACCTAAGATGAGGAAGTTATGACATTTTTAAGATTGCGGCAGAAATGGTCCTTATTGGAAAAAGGTTTGCAATTAAATCCTATACGCGCATCGCGAGGTAGGCACGTGCCTGGGCGAGTGCGCCCAACGTAAGCTAGGGGTACACCCAACGTAATGGTCAGAGTGCCAAACCCTAGTTTTTAGGGTTTATGCACTATATAAACATCTTTATGAGCTCAAGGCTCTTTCCTTTCTTAGCCCCCCATTGCATTCTAGTCTCATTTCGGAAACCCTAATCCCATTTTGAGTGTTTGAGTGATCTAAGTGTGCTTTTTGGTATGTTCTTGCTCATTTCCATGAAGAGGGTGTTGGTGCTAGCTTGTGGATTCAATGGAGGACGCTTCAATCATAATTATCATATAAAGGTAAAAAAAATCATATTCAATTATCACCGTCATGCTTTTGTTATATTGTGTATTATAACATCGTATTATTGTTCTTTGGAATATCTACCCAATTATAATACTGTACTTTCAACTTATCTTATTAGGACACAATACTTTGAAACTACCTTACAACCATTACTTTTATAGCAACATGCTATTTAATTTTCATATATATGGAAATTTACTTTTTTTACGATTCTGTTTAAATTTTTTTGAAAATACAATGCTATTTTTTTGCTTTTTACAAAAACACTGATGAAAATGAAAGTATAGCTACCTTCTTCTACCATTTCCATTTACTAGCTCTTTTTTTGGTCCTGGTGCACGAGGTTCTTTTTGAATTTGCATTTAAACTTTTATAGTCTATAGTTTGTTGAAGCAGTGTTATGTATTTTGTATGCATATGTGTTTTTTCTTTTTTTTTTTTTTTTTTTTTTTTTTTTGTTGTTAAAGTTTACAAAAATGAATGCCATATCATTTCTTTTAAGTTTTGCTTCGTTGTGCTAAGGAAATCTATTTTAGCTTTTTGATTACAAACTATTTGCCATTATGATGAATGTAATAGTTTTAGCATCGATGTTTTTTGGCAATGTACCAACGTTAAAAAAACCTATTCTAGCAATTTGATTACAAATTATTTGTCATTACAAATCACACACCATTCAAACCCAAAGTGAAGCACATGATTTTTTTACTAGTTTCATATTAAACTCGTATATATTTTTATCACTTGTTACATTTATAATGAGCAAATAGTTAGCCATATTACTTATAAGGTGTTTTAAAGTTTGAATTATAAATTTAAATAACTTCCAAACCACATAAAACTCACAATCCGTTCACACCAAACCATACCGCATAACATGGTTTAGAACATTCACGGTACGATTTGCGATTTATAAAAATCTAAAATCACCGGTTTGCAGTTTTGACTTTAAATCGGCACCTGCAATTTATACATTGAAAATATATAGGAGAATAGTCTATGATAGTATCACAATCATATCTGTTACAGTAAATCATAAATTTTTAACCAAAACTAATTTACATAAGTTACTCGTGATTAGAAACTATCAAAGAAAAATAGAAATTACATTTTCTTGTTGTAGAAGAGCCCAGCATTAGTAGATCCGATGGGCCTTAGGCCCATTCGCACAGACCTATCTATTCTAAACCCTAATGATATTTGTTCGCTTCACCTCACTGCTTTTGCAGGTTTATTTTTCGCATCGTCTCCATTGAGCAGGTTTGAAGCTTTTCTTCCCTCTTTCGCTCAGTTAATATCTCAGCTTTGTTTCTTTATGTAATTTACATGTATATATTGTTCCGTCTTTGGATTTTGGCCTCATTTAGATTGATCTATTGGTTATTTTGATCGTTATAGCTGTTAATTCTTAGAATTTGTTCTTTCTGCGTCGATGCTTTATCTTTTTTTTTTACTCCACAGATATCGTTAATTCGGTATATATGTCATTCTCTTAAGAAAATTGATGTGTTATCTCTTCGATGCCTAAAATCACTTTTTTTAAGCTCTCCATGGTCGTGTGTTTGTTCTGAATAATTTTATATGCATGTTATTTGTTTACAAACTAGACTTTCGATTTTATAATGTTAAACGGTTCTTTTGAGGTGTATCTTCTTTTAGCTATCAATCTAGTTTCAGAAGATCTACAATTCATTAGAATTTCATTGTTGCAATCTAACAGTATTATGATGATAATTTTGTACTCGAAGAGCATGCGCATGAATTTTAAAGTTTGGCAAATACATTTCTGAAAGGTTTCCGCCCAATGTTGATTACGAGTTTTTTTATGTAATATATTACCTTTTAAATGAGCAATAACTCAACAAGTGTGTTTCAGATCACATATCAAGTATAAATCACTCCCAACGAACACACATATGTATACACATGCATATATCATCAATCCAAGTTTATAATCCCAAACTGATTGATTTTTTTTTGTTGTAACATTCACAATATGATGAACTCTTGGAGGAAACTAATGTGATTTCCCTTCATAAGTTTACTTTGCTTCCTGAAATTGTTTTCTACAGAATAATAAGTGTTTCTGTAGCTCCATTGAACCATAACATTTTTGTTTTCAACATCAACTTATTCAGCAGCTGAGAAGGAGAGAGAGAGAGCAACAAGCAATTGACATAGACAACAATGGTGCACGTCTCGTTTTACCGCAACTGTAACTCATCTTTTACCCTTCTTTTCACTCCCTTTTATACAAATTCAAGCATAATTGACATATAAGAATATGATAATAACAAGATCCAAAAATGTTTTTTAGATGGGAAAACTTTCAAGAAACCCCGTCGTCCATACGAGAAGGAAAGATTAGATGCTGAACTGAAGCTTGTTGGAGAATATGGGCTTAGATGCAAAAGAGAGCTTTGGAGGGTTCAATATGCACTCAGCAGAATCCGTAATGCTGCAAGAATGCTTCTGACCCTTGAAGAAAAGGACCCACGTAGGATCTTTGAAGGTGAAGCCCTTATGAGAAGGATGAACAGATATGGGCTGTTGGATGAGAGCCAAAACAAGCTAGATTACGTTCTTGCCCTTACTGTTGAAAACTTTTCTTGAACGTCGATTACAGACACTTGTCTTCAAAACTGGAATGGCCAAATCCATCCACCATGCTAGAGTTCTCATCAAGCAAAGGCACATCAGGTATGTAATTAAATAAAATTCTTGATGTATATATTGGTCATTTCAGTTAGAGTTTACTGAAATTTTTAGGTAGTGTTTGGTAATGATGGGATTAGGGAAGGACTGGAATTGTCAATGACATTAATTCTTAATAATCGTCAATGACACTAATTTTTTTATAAGTTTTTGGGTTTTATGCAGAAAAGTCACATTATTTTGGGAAAGTTTTTGATGAAGTACTAAATCTTTTTTTTTTGAACAGAAAAGTCTCATTATTTTGGGAAAATCATGTAATCTGTCATTTCTGTTAAATTAAAAAAAAAAAGACTTTTTCGTTAGTTTGGGCAAAATATTAAATAATCAGGATTTTTCTGTTAAAAAAAAGATTTAGGACTTTATCAAAAAAATTTCCAAAATAATGGGACTTTTCTGCATAAAACCCTAAATTTTTAGGGTTGATCTTATAAAAAAAACCTTATATTTTATGTTTTTTGTGGATTAAACCTCAACTTCAGTTTTTTCGTGAAAAGACCTTGCTTTTTTTCATTTTTTCCGATCTGGCCCTTTTAGTCATTTTTGATTTTTCCTAAAGAAGTTGTAAAATGTGAGGGATAAACTAAAGAAGTTGAGGATTTATTTTAAAACATTTAGAAGGGTGGTGTTTTTTTTCGGTTAAAGAAGACAAAGTTGAGGGGTTTTTTTTCGGAAGAATGAAAAAATTTGAGGTTTTTTTGTAAAAAAGATAAAGATGAGGTTTACTCTGGAAAAAAACTCAAAATATAAGGTCTTTTAAGAGATTAACCAAGTTTTTTTTATACTTCAACTAATTAATTTATTTTTATTTTTCAAAAACAATTAAATTTATTTATTTTATTACAATCATAAGATTCTCATGGTATTTAATTTATTATTTCTGTAGATAGTTTTTTTTATAAAATGATAAAGACCTTTATTTGACAATTTGAAATGTTATACATTTTAAACAAAATGAAAAATGTTGATATGCAATTTATTTAGAGATATATTTCATTTAACTAAAGTTCATTTCATTTAACTAAAGTTCATTTTTCAACACTGTTAAAAATTCTAATCATACATATCAAAACAACATGTTTGAATGACTCAATTCATCAATTCTGTTACCACTCATTCAATTCCATTCCATTTGTTTGTGATTCCATTCCACCATAATACAGGGTGGGAAGGCAAGTGGTGAATGTTCCATCATTCATGGTGCGTGTTGACTCCCAGAAGCATATTGACTTTTCTCTCACCAGTCCCTTTGGAGGCGGGCGACCTGGCAGAGTCAAGCGAAAGAACCAAAAGGCGGCTGCCAAGAAGGCGTCAGGTGGGGACGCTGACGAGGATGATGAAGAGTGATGACATGTCATCATGTTTCATCTTTTTACTATCTTGTCAACATGGTTTAATTTGATATTTTTCAGAACCTCTAAACATAGCAAGTTTTTTATTTGATAATATGGATATTATGCAATCAAGTAAGTGTCTCAAGGGTGACGAAACATTAAAACTTTATGCTTATTTTTGTGACATTGTTTTTATTAATCAAGTAAACCTAAAGCCAAGTGTCCCTTTAATCTTAAAAGACAGAATGACTTAATTGGTTAAGTAAAAAGTCTACTTAATGTAAAAGATACTAACCCCTTATCTGTTTGTCATCCTTGTTTTCTTTCTACTTCTTTGATTTAATGTAAAAATGTTGGCTTAATGTCAGATTTGTTTTTTGGAACGCAAGTGTAAAATGGTTATTTAGTTAACAAGGAAAAGAAACAACCACTAACTAAGTTGGACAACAGAAAAGTAGTTAAGTTACTTGTCGAGTTTAAAAAATTAAAATCTTTTTTTTACTTGATGGCTGAATGGCTTTAAAGTGATTATGAGAATAAGTTTTCTACGAGCTGTTGTATAGTCAAACACAACTTTTGATTATTAGTTTGAATCATTATGTTTTGTCCACATCAGCTTATTACTAAATACAATTTTGTTTTAGAATAAAAATACCTATTCTTTGAAGGTGTATCAAAGAGTTTCACAAAATTGACCATTGACCATATTAGGAGCTTTCATATTGTTAAACAATCATAATTTTTTGAACTTCGAAAACAACCCATACGTCTGAAAACAAGGAAAAACCATAATAATAAATTAAGAAGCACCTCAAGAAAACAAGGAAAAACCATAATAATAAATTAATAATAATAATGTTGCAAAGAATGCCCATTAGCCAACAAAAAGGCCACAAGAATCTGCTAAAAAACAATTGGCATATAGTTGGTCCATGGTTCGTTAAGCAATTAACAAATTGACATTTCATTTTCTATACACACGTTTATTTACGAAGTGGTTTTATATCAATCCACATATTGTTCCAAGACATTAATTTAATCTTAAAGTGTAACAGTGTAACATTCTTTGTAATGAATGAATCCTTGGATCAAACTTAATCCCTAATAATTGACCATATATCTTGGGAACAAAAGTCGTCTCAATACAAGTTTTGAAACAAAAGCCACCAGAAGCTTTCGGAGTTTTGAAACAAAACCTTGCTTGCCTAAGTTCACAAAAAAATGGAGGAGAAGAACCGAGGAAGCGATTTATGCAAATTAATCTCTTGGTATTGAGCCTATATATTCTTGTGTTTGGTTTGCAAATATTCTTTCATATTCCCTTTACCATTATATTTGTGTCTAGTGTTCGTGGTGACTATTTCAAACTTACAAACTTGGTTGTATAATTCATGGTGGTTATTTTATTTAAAAATCCACTAAAATTTTCAGAAGCACCCTTCACTTTATGTCGAATATCAAAGATAATTTAATTTATTCGATTACAAAATTTATGTGTCTTGTCCAACTTGATATTCATTACTTTGATAAGTAACTTCACTTTAAGAAAATGCCTTACTATTGTTTGTTAGAGGATAATGTGCAAATATTCATTTCTTGCCATATATTTTCTGCAACCTGTTTTGTTAAACTACTTGGAATAAAGTCATGATATGATAGCTTGCTACATATTATTGACTTTTTGATCAAAATTGAAAGAAATGTGCGATTGGGGAGTTGTGTGCTTTAGGTGAAGAGTTTCAACATTTGAATAAGTCTTGTATTGACTAATATTTTCAAATGTTGGTTACTAAAATTTGTGTTTATTTGCTAACATACTTCTTCACCTACTTTTTTTTTCGCTGTTTTTGTGTTTGAGATAAGATTCTTTACGATTAGTGATTACTTGTGTTTAGTGTGAGCAACTTGTTGATTAATTGATATATTTTCCTACTTGAGCATTCATGTTAAAACACATTTTCTGGTTAAAAAACGATGTGATTTGTTTGGCTAAACAAATTGGTTTGCTGTTTGATTGGTTTCTTGATTATTTGGAAAACTATTTTATCAATCATCCATATTAATTCTATGACTCAATTGAGAAAAGCAATTATGTGTTCAGATTCTTTCGATTGACATCCACATGTTGATTTATATTTTACAAAACTACGATTGTATGGTTAAGACTTAAGGCACCTAACCTCAAGTGGTATTTCTTGTCTATGAGGTTGTGCAAACATTCATCTCAACTTACAATTGGTATCTCACACTCTCCTACAAATTAATTGATATTTAAATCATGTTTGTTATTTTTCTAACAAACATATATCGATATATATATATATATATATATATAGATATATATATATATATATATATATATCTATATATATCTATATATATATATATATATTATCTATATATATATATATATAAAGATTAAGAACCCTAAGAACCCTTATTTTATAGGTAAATATATATTGTGAATATTAGTAAATATGTTAAAATCCTAATTTTTGTCTTTTTGGTAAGGAAAGAGCAAAATCGTAATTTTTTTACTCTAATATTCTCATTCATACATTCAATTATATTTTGAACACAAAATTTATATAAAATAACCCTTTATAGGGCCCATTTACAGTTTAAGACATAAACTTGACAGCTTAATACAATTTACTTTACACTAAATCGCAAATTCAGAGAAGTCAAACCCAAACTCCACCACCACCACACGCCGCCACCAACCACATATGCCTACGTCGCAACCATCATCATTCCAAATTAGGTATGTATATAAAATCATGCAATACAAGTCAAATACTATATTCATAGTTTAATAAACCTATTAGTTCACTCATTTTGAATTTTACACAAAACAATTATAAAAACTAGTGCATTCTTACTTACTTACACAACACAAAAAATAAATATATTTATAAGAACATTAATACAAAAAGTCATACATAAATTATTCATATTTTACCACAAAATTTATAAAAATCACAACAAAATGCATTCAATTCACAACTTAATACAATCAATTACCGTTTAATACATAAAATTCACAGCTTAATATAATAAATTAACAATTTATACAAAGAAATGTCATATTCTTAACTGAAAACTTAGATATGGAGACTAGTGCTTCTTTCAAAGTTTAATTTTTACAATATTCATAGTTTAAATTTTATATAACTTATTTAAAATTAGAGAAAATCATATGTATAATGCTTATTCTTCTCATATTTCAGATGCACACATCAAAATTCATAAAAAAATATGCAACTTAATACAGTTAATTCACAACTTAATACATGTAATTCACAGTTTAACACATAAATTTACAGCTTAATATAATAAATTTATAGTTTAATACACAACAATTATATATTCACAGCCATATTTTCAACTTAAAACCTATATTTATACGTTAATATCTAGAGACATTTCAATGTATTAAATTGTGAATTTATTATATTAAGTTGTGAATAAATTTCATAGCTTAATACACAAAATTCACAGTTAATACAATATATTAATAACTCATTTATAAGTATAATCTCACATTTCAATGTATTAAAAAGCTCATTCACAGTTTAATACATACATAAATTATCTCATATTTTAGAACCAAACATCAAAAGAAAACATATACATGAATCATAAAAAGAGGATAACTTATCTAAAATCAACGAAGAAGATGAGTGAGAAATAGGACAATCATCAACCATCGCCACCACCAACCACCAATGGCAATACCGCCAACATCATTCCCTCAAAAACCAGTTAGAATGAAAAAAAATCATAATTCACAGTTTAATAAAACATTTCAGATGTTAATTCACAAGTTAATTCAATATTTGAGATACTATTTCACAACTTAGTGCATAAAAAAATTCACATTCACAGCTTAATAACTTACATATTAACAAATTAATACATAAAAAAGACATATTCATAGCTTAATGACTTGCTAAATATCTTTAAGGTATTTTATCAAAAAATTTGTGTGCCTCACTTACATCAAATATATAATCACTATAATGAGTGTCGAATCTAGGATTAAAAGTCACATATATCCACTTTAATTGAGATGATAAATCAACATTTTAAAATTTAATTTTTTATAGTTTAATTTTTTTTTATCGAATCCTTAATATACTATTCAAGAAAAATATAGTATTAAACTTAATAGTAACGATCAATTAGTTTAAAGTACTAATAAATATCTTACATTAATACTTTACTAACCGTTTGATAACTTTTCATTATTAAATTACAAAATTTTATATTAATTTATATATAATAACCTTTTACTATAATTATAATTATTATATTAAAGGAATGCGATTGAAATCATAAAACTCTAAATCTAACTATATATTAAACAATTAAAACCATATTAATACAACTTTACTATCCATTTACTGATTTTGGTCGTAGCATGTTAAAATCATAAATCTATGTGCTACTAATTTGACAAAATGTAAATATCATACTATATGCTAGTAATTAGAATAAATTGTAAAGAGGGTTTAGGATTTCAACTTTCTAGATGTGCCACTGTTGATGCAGTACACCCATCAAGGAAGAGAGAGACAGTTAAAATCGTTTAGACAATTAGATCACTTTTAACTTTTTCATATTTTTTTTGTTTTATTTTATAAGTAAAAAGAAAAAAACGAGGATTTCCACTTTATAAATTTCTTGTTTCATTTCACAGCTTGACTGACCAGTCATTCACAACTTAATAGATTAGTTTAAACAATTATTCATTTTATTCACATCTTAAAACATACCTTTTTCTTCATTGATCCATTTCATCGAACACTTTCAATGCATATTGTTTCCAGATCTGAGATTTTTCTCTAGATTCAGATTCATGAGCACGTTGGTAAGCCAACAACATCAGTGATGTGACTTCGGTGGTGGTGGCGGTATAGTGACGTCGGAGGTGATGTCAGTGGTGTGATATTGGCGGTAAACATTATGAAATCAAATATCTAAAGGAAATCGGCTGAAGAAAAGAAGTAGATCTAGATGTGGTCGAGCATTTAGAGGAGAAAAGAGTTATATGCTTCCTCATATATGTTTTTCCGGTGAAGCAAATCGAAAAAGTTGCTTTTACTCCTTCAGATCTGGACGTCGAAGTTTTGGAGATGAAGCAAATTTTGACTTCGGAGTAGAGTGATGACAGATCTGAAGGTAGATGTTCTAGATCTAAAGGTGACTGACTCCAGA